AATCCAGATCTGAAATCCCGATCACATTCACGGATGGCGGGTTGTTGAGCAGTTGAACGTGCAACCAGCAATTTTGTATTTATGTATTATGTCAGACAGATCTGACATTTACGATACTAATTTGAAAATTAACTGAAATTTGAAATCCTTGTTATGTAAGTCGCCCGGCAACATATTTGTAAGAGACAAAAAAGGTAACGCTACTTCTTAGCAACCATTTTTCATGATAAAGAGCAAGGCTATTGAAAAAGCAGGTTGATGGGAACAAATAGCAAATAAGTAAGTTGAATTACATGAAATTGTATCTTATTAACTTATATTACTTAATACAGATAATAAACTCCCTCCCTCTCAACCGCAATATTTGTATATTAAACTGAGAATAGCAAATACCCAAACGGAGTTCGTGTTATTTTTGCTTTAATCCCCAACAATGAGTTTCATTTTCTCGAGTCACCTTTTCACTTTTCGTTTCCGTGTATTCACTACGGGTGGGTAAAAAAAATTCTGGCGAAACTCACGATAAGGCTGATTAGTAAAATGCATCGTTAATTAACAAAAAAAAAATGTAGCTTGTATATTTATCTCTCTAACGCATTAATTCTATATATGTCAAGACCAACGCCCGACGCCGTTATGTCTGAATTTAATAACGGCTCTATGACAAAATATTCAAGAAATGTATTCGTAGATTTTTATTTACTTCATTTCATACATTAATATTGATCTAATTTTGTTTAATAAGTACCACGAATAAATATTTAACAAAAAACTATTTCACTTAAGCTGAACCAAATTTTAGTTGCTCGGAGCTAATTTAGGAACGCTTCATAAAATATTTTCATATACGGTAAATGCAACCCTGGTTGCATGATTAATGAGCTGAAAAACTAAAAAAAATAATTAAATTTGTGGATTGAAGCCTTTTGAAATGGCCTTTAGAAACGGCAATGGAATTTCGACACTATTCAAGGAATTGCGAATATAAGCTGCCTTCCGTTTGGCACATTTGAGGTTTAAACCTTCAGAAAGTTACAAAAAAAAAAAATTTCTACTTTTATTTATTATTAGCAGACCCGGCGAACTTCGTTCCGCCCAAAATAAATTTTTTGTAAACATTTTGGTCCAACATTTTCACCTAGATTTCACGTTCATGATTTTTAGTGAGGCATTTGTCTTCCAATATTACGGTTTGGTGGTTATCATAAGGCATATTTGCCGTCTTAAGNAGGTTTAAGTTTGTTACGGTACACGAAATAAGCTGTGAGGTCGTTTTACAATGTGTTATGTTTTTGTTGTCGAAATTCTATACAAAAATTTAATATTTGTTTGTTTGTTGGTGTATGTATGTCGCAGACATACATCATTAAAAGCTCATTAAAGTTTTTTTGAAAATAAAGCACATAGTTAAAATATTACACGTTTTTCTTTTAATCACTGACTACACGAAATAAGCTGTGAGCCACTGTATCTCCATACCAAGTTCGAGACCTATTCCATGAACATTTTCCGGGACATGCAGGGGAGGCCCCCTGGACCTAGAGGTATGAAATATGCTTGACATCCGATTCTCATACCTACCATATACAACACAAAAATTTCATAAAGATCGGTCGAGCCGTGTAGGATGAGTTCGATTTGTATATATTAGATAAGCACGATGCGAGAACATAGAAAAAATTTCGATGAAAATCTCGGGTTCACAAGTATCCTATCTCTTAAGTTGGAACCAACAATACACACCCAAAAAATTTCATTGAAATCAGTTAAGCGGTTTCGGAGATTAGCGTAATCGAACACAGTGACACGGGATTTTTATATATTAAGATACCCTAATTTAATCACCTACCATAGATACGTTTGCGTACTAAATTTCAATTTCATTTGACTTACGGTTTTGAAATTATAGCTGATAAAATTTTCCACGCCTATGGGAAGTGCCACGCCCCCTTTTACAAACCCATTTATATATAAGCACCTACCATTGATATATCTGCATACCAAATTTCAAGTTCATGGGACTTATAGTTCCGATGTTATAGCTGATAAAAAATTCCATGCCTATTGGATGTGTCACGCCCTCTTTTCCAAACTCATTTATATATACCCTAATATAAGTACCTACCATTAAAATGGCTGCGTACGAAATTTCAAGTTCAAGCGAGTTCCGGAGTTATAGCTGATGAAGAATTCCAGGTCCATGGGACGTGCCGCTCCCCCTTTTCCAAACTCACTTATATATAGCCTACTATAAGCACCTGCTACAGATACGCCTGCGTACCAAATTTCAATTTCACGTGGCATATGATTCCGAATTTTCCACGCCTATAGGATGTTCCACGCCTCCTTTTGCAAACTCATTTATATATATGCTACTATAAACGCCAACCATATGTATGTATGACTGAATAACAAATTTCAAGTTCATATGACTTATAGTTTCAGATTTATAGCTGATAAATTATTCCACGCCTATTGGATGTGCCGCGCCCACTTCTACAAACTCATTTATTTATACCGTACTCTAAGCACCTACCATATATATGACTGTATACCAAATTTCAAGTTCATATGACTTATAGTTTCAGATTTATAGCTGATAAATTATTCCACGCCTATTGGATGTGCCGCGCCCACTTCTACAAACTCATTTATTTATACCGTACTCTAAGCACCTACCATATATATGACTGTATACCAAATTTCAAGTTCAAGTGACTTATGGTTCCGAAGTTATGATTGATAACAAATTCCACGCATATTGGATGTGCCACGCCCACTTTTACAAAAACATTTATATATACTCTACTGTAAGCATCTGCCATATATATGACTGCATACCAAATTTCAAGTTCATGTGACTTATAGTTCCGGAGTTATAGCTGATAAAATATTCCCATGGGATGTGCCCGCCCACTTTTTCAAACTCATTTATATATACCCTACTATAAGCACCTACCATATATATGACTGCATACCAAATTTCAAGTTCATGTGACTTATAGTTCCGGAGTTATAGCTGATAAAATATTCCCATGGGATGTGCCCGCCCACTTTTTCAAACTCATTTATATATACCCTACTATAAGCACCTACCATATATATGACTGCATACCAAATTTCAAGTTCATGTGACTTATAGTTCCGGAGTTATAGCTGATAAAATATTCCCATGGGATGTGCCCGCCCACTTTTTCAAACTCATTTATATATACCCTACTATAAGCACCTACCATATATATGACTGCATACCAAATTTCAAGTTCATGTGACTTATAGTTCCGGAGTTATAGCTGATAAAATATTCCCATGGGATGTGCCCGTCCACTTTTTCAAACTCATTTATATATACCCTACTATAAGCACCTACCATATGTGTGACAGAATAATAAATTTCAAGTTCATATGACTTATAGTTTCGGATTTATAGCTGATAAAATATTCCACGCCTATGGGATGTGCCACGCCTCTTTCTGCAAACTCATTTATATATACATACCTTACTGTAAGCATCTATGTCTATGTCTGTATACCAAATTTAAAGTTCATGTAGCTTATAGTTCCAGAGTTATAGCTGATAAAATATTCCCAAGGGATGTGCCACGCCCACTTTTTCAAACTCATTTATATATACCCTACTATAAGCACATACCATATGTGTGACTGAATAACAAATTTCAAGTTCATATGACTTATAGTTTCGGATTTATAGCTGATAAAATAATCCACGCCTATGGGATGTGCCACGCCTCCTTTTACAAACCCCTTTATATATACCTTACTGTAAGCACCTACCATAGTTATATCTGCATACCAAATTTCAAGTTCATATGACTTATAGTTTCGGATTTATAGCTGATAAAATAATCCACGCCTATGGGATGTGCCACGCCTCCTTTTACAAACCCCTTTATATATACCTTACTGTAAGCACCTACCATAGTTATATCTGCATACCAAATTTCAAGTTCAAGTGACTTATGGTTCCGAAGTTATGATTGATAACAAATTTCACGCATAACAATGCCACGCCCACTTTTACAAAGTCATTTATATATACTCTACTGTAAGCACCTACCATATATATGACTGCATACCAAATTTCAAGTTCATGTGACATATAGTTCCGAAGTTATGGCTGATTAAAAGTTTCACGCCTATGGGAGATGCCACGCCCCCTTGTCGAATCCCAATTTTTTTACCCTATTATAGGCCCAGGTGTCATGGCAATATTCTGTCAAAATTTTGTTCGATTCTGTCCGTCCGTTTAGGATTAAACCTGGTACATACATACACACATACATACTTCCACAAATATATAGTAGATATATCCTTCTCTTAGCGTGTAAGTTTCAAGTCCCAATATTTCTTTTCAATTCAGCAAGTAAATGTAATTTTTAGGAATATTCTGACCCCAGCGTCACCTACCGAGNCATGGCAATATTCTGTCAAAATTTTGTTCGATTCTGTCCGTCCGTTTAGGATTAAACCTGGTACATACATACACACATACATACTTCCACAAATATATAGTAGATATATCCTTCTCTTAGCGTGTAAGTTTCAAGTCCCAATATTTCTTTTCAATTCAGCAAGTAAATGTAATTTTTAGGAATATTCTGACCCCAGCGTCACCTACCGAGCAAATTTTTTGTAGAAATATTTATTTTCAAGGTACTGATATATGTTCCAAATATGAACCCAATCGGTCCAGCCGTTTAGTAGTTTAGTGACATTCAATGTAAAGAAAACTGTATGAAATTATGAAATCGTGACGTCACAGCATTCTTAATTTTTTGGCAACAACAAAAAGTTTTGAATTTTTTAAATCGAAAAACCTTCCACACAGAAGGTCCAAAATAGTACTTTTTACAGAATTTAAATCGGTTCAGCCGTTTGGTCAGGCATCGCGGTCATACGAAAAACATTTAATTTTTATATATATAGATATATATATTTTTGAAATAAAAATACTCCACCTTGTACACCAAAGAATTTCTTTAAACCATCTTGCGCAGCAGTTTGTTGATCTTATCTTCACCGTTACCGAAATCACCAACCTCAACGTAGTGATTAGCGCTCTTGCGCCAGCCGCCGGTTGGTGTTGAGCTTGAATGGCCAGAGGAAGTTGGAGGCTTTCTTGAAGTGGGATCCAAAAGTGAATATTTCGTGCGCCAAATAACAACGCACTGAATATCGTGCGCTTTGCGCAATTTGCGTTCGATCACAAAGTTGTCAGAGATTGAGACACGTTGATGGTTGTGCTTGACAATTCCACGTTTGTAGATCAATTCACGAACTGATTTAAGATTAGGATAACCCCATGTGATATAGGGTTCGGCAATGCGTAGCATATTAATGGTTCAATTTGATGAACAAACCGTGGTTAATGTGACGAAAACGGAACAACAGTAATGCCTTGGTTATAATGGACGGGGCGAATCGTAACAAATCGCGGCGAATTCGTAAGGATCTATTGATTTTAGATTGTTCCGTTTTACGTTACGTTACGTGCATTATAACCATTTGCATTAATTTCCCATACAATAGATAATTAAGTGACAGTTCACTCCGTTCCGTTACTTCCATTATAACCCAGGCATAAAACTTTACGGACTTTTGGTGAAACTTTGTTGATACCGCGGATACAGATAACAAAAGCCAATTTGTCTTTTGCAGGCACGTAGAATGGGCCGCGTTTCTTTGCCAGACGGCGCAACTTATTCTCACGGCGTCCATCACGGAGATATTTTGTTAGATATTTCTCAACCAAGTGTTCACGTTTGCAGAGCGTGATCACAGCAGAGCGCTTTAGTTTACGCTTAATCAGGGTAGCACGTTTGCTGACCTGCTTCTTGCTGAACTTCAGCTACGACTCGGAGACAGAAGGCAGCTTGCTGGAAGGTTGTTTGCCCTTTGCTTCGGGCTTCTTACCGGCCGTGGTGGCAGTCATCTTAACTTGTAACTTAGCACGTTGAGAAGATGAATAAAATTTCGCCAAATGTTTGGAGCACATCTTAAATAACGCCACTCGATTTATAACACTTCCATTAAGCACAATTTCATTTAATTAAATACTTTTTTAATACACAGATATGCTGCAACCAGGAACTTACTTTCCCAAATTCCATCTTGCTTTTCGGCATAATTTTCCAAATGTGCCTGCGCTGCTACTTCATACTAATAATTTCATTTTCAAACTGCGCCTTCTTTGTTGCCTCAACATATCCTAAAAATACATAAAATTTACATTAAACAATAGAAATCGCAAAAATTAGCAAATAAAATACTCCCTTCATTTTGTTTTGTTGTCAAATTTCTGAGAAATGTGAATTCACCACGATGCAATACACAAAGAACAAGGACCAGGGATGTAATTTTAAGTAAACCTAATATTCAGTGGCAATGCGCAGAGCGTTCCGAGTAGCGAAATTAATTTGTATCAAATATAACATTAAACGGTGGCTATAATACACTTTTTAATATCTTTAATCAGAGTACATATATAATATGGTATTTCTTTCAAAAATTAATGCACTATATGCATATTTTTTTTTTATGTTTCTTAAGTTTCTTTCAATGGTGCTAAAAAGCACCCATGCGTGTAAGAAATTGTGTGGTACCTAAAATTTCACCTCTGGAAACTTTATCCCCATAAAGGACTTCACCACAGTTTTTTTACTGGATATACTGAGGTTACTGAACTGTTGCGCCTTCTGAACGTGCCCAATATAGCGGAATTAGAGCGAGAAGTTGCCAACAGATAACATCTTGTATTATTGCATCATATGGCACCCTGAAATTGTGCATATGGAAACTGTGCATACGAAATAATGCATATGAAAAAAACCGAAATAATGCATATATGCACAGTTTCGGTTGAAAACCGAAATAACGCATATGACAAAACCGAAATAATGCATACTTTCGTTTGAAAACCGAAATAACGTATATGAGAAAAACAAAGTAATGCATACATGCACAGCTTCTGTTCAAAACCGAAATAATGCACATGACAAAAACCGAAGTAATGCATACATGCACAGTTTCGACTCAAAACCGAAATAATGCATATGACAAAAACCGAAATAGTGCATACATGAAAACGAACTTCTTTCTGCGTAGGCGGCCTTTGGCCGCGCTTAGGGATTATAACCCTTACTTAGTAGAACTCTCTTTTCTGTGTTGCCGGAAAAGAGGACCGGAAGTATTTCTGCGCAGAACTTTCTACGTAGGCGGCCTTCGGCCGCGCTTAGGGATTATAACCCTTACTAAGTAGAACTCTCTTTTCTGTGTTGCCGGAAAAGTGGACCGGAAGTATTTTTGCGCAGAACTTCTTTCTGCGTAGGCGGCCTTTGGCCGCGCTTAGGGATTAAAACCCTTACTAAGTAGAAGTAAATAATTCATATTAGAAAAAACGAAATTATCCATATGCACACCTTCGTTAGGAAACCGAAATAATGCATATAACAAAATCCGAAATAATGCATGCATGCACAATTTCGGTTCAAAACCGAAATAATGCATATGAAAAACCCGAAGTAATGTATACATGCACAGTTTCGGTTGAAAACCGAAATGATGCATATGTGATAGACGAAGGTATGCATACATGCACAGTTTCGGTTGAAAACCGAAGTAATGCATATAAAAGAAAAAACCGAAATAATGCATGCATGCACAGTTTCGGTTGAAAACCGAAATAATGCATATGAAAAACCCGAAGTAATGCATACATGCACAGTTTCGGTTGAAAACCGAAATAATGCATATGGCAAAAACCGAAATAAAGCATACATGCGCAGTTTCGGTTGAAACCGAGATAATGTCTAAATGCACAGTTTCCATATGCGCCATTTTGGTGCCCCGCATCATGTGTATGTACATATGAATGCGAGGGTACAATCGATAGTTTCTTTTCGATATGGTCAGCCGTTTTTTGCAGGGTAAATAGAGCTGCAAAATTATCGATGGACTGTACGATGTTTTCGATAGTTTTGGGCCTCGCCCTTGCAAGAAGCGTGACCTATGATTATCGGTTAAATTAGGGGGAAAACTGATTAAAACTTTTCGGCAGTTTAGCGGTTAGTGATTTTTCTGACCACTATTCTAACCTCTAAATAATTGATAAATTAGTGAATAGATGGCAGCGAAATGTCCAAAAATACATGAAATCAAATTAAAAAATATAATTCGATTTAGTTTATGTGTTTGTTTTATTTGTAAAAATGTATTGTCGAATACTAACTTAATTTCGCAAGCTTTTTCAGAGCTACTGAGCTCAGACAATTCTTCTCATTTTTAATCAGGGTCTGAATTTTCGTCGCCAAAAACAAATGCCTCAGCGCCGTTTAGTCTTTCTACCTCCATTCCTAGGTTCTTCTGGAGTCCCCTGTTGGCGTTGCACTGTATTTCAGCACTGTAGTCACTGAAGGCCGGTCCACATAGAACTTTCGCGTTGGTTTTGGTGTTGGCGTTGGTGTGACAGAACGCACGATAAAAGTATGCTTGCTACAATGAACGCTTGGCAGTGAATGCTTGGGCCACTAAATTAACATACTACCGACACATAAATTAATATTTCATATCAATAATTGCTTTAAAAACGATATTTCTTGCCCGCACTTGATTAAAAAGGAAAAATATTTCATATAATTTTATTTATTTGCAACAGCTGACGAGCGAAGCACGCGAAAAGAGGAGAGTTGGCCATCTTTTTGCTTTGTGTTGGCGTGAGCGTTGCCGAATATTGGCTATGTGGACGGCTGCATTTGAATTCATGTATTCATAGTCAGCTGTTGAAGCGACGCCAACGCCAACGCAACGCCAAAGTTCTATGTGGATGGGCCTATAGAACTTTCGCGTTGGCTTTGGCGTTGGTTTGACAGAACGCACGTTAAAAGTATGCTTGCTACAATGAACGCTTGGCGGCGAATCCTTGGGCCACTAAATTAACATATTAACGACAGATAAATTAATATTTCATATCAATAATTGCATTAAAAACGATATTTCTTGCCCGCACTTGATTAAAAAGGAAAAATATTTCATATAATTTTATTTATTTGCAACAGCTGACGAGCGAAGCACGCGAAAAGAGGAGAGTTGGCCATCTTTTTGCTTTGTGTTGGCGTGAGCGTTG